GGCAGATTCGCGGGACGACGCGGTGATGATCGTACCCATAGCGGCTGGCGCATGAGGCGCTGCTAGCAAGGCGGGACTGGGAAGCAGCGTTGCTGTGCGGAAAGGGAAGCAGCTGAGATGGGCTGCGGAAGTTTGTTTTCCAGTGAACGCTGTTGGTTGGTGTCGGTGCGGTGTCCTTCCACGAGTAGAGCCCCAGGAATAGGAATCGGGAGCGCGGGGTTTTGATTTGGGAAACAGATAAGCTGAGGGGACTTCTTTCTTTCTTCCTGGCTGCTGGCTTGCTGCGTTGCGGTGTAATTTGTGCGCGTCCAGCCGCATAAGAAGGAAAAGTGATCGCTGGGAGACCGTAGATTCGACGACGGTGTAGCTAAGTTATTTTCTTTTTCTATATAACTAGGAGACAGCAGCGTTAGAGAAGTATTATCTTCGTTAGCACGGCCACGTGGAATGGGTGCACGTCGCTTTTTTTTTTTCCACGTGAAAGCACGTGGCATTACGCTTCCTAATTAGACCTCGCAACGACGCAAGGCCGAAATATTGTGAATTCCTGACAGCGCACGTGTCAGAATTGCTACTCGGCAGAGAAAGAGCGGAGATTTGGAATGCTGGTACGAGGAGATTTGGCGGCGTCATTTGCGGCGTTGTTTGAAACCTTAGCGAGGACTGAGTAGTCCTAAATACTTCGGCCGCACTTTTTCTCCGCATGACGAGAATGCATGCGGTAGTTGGTGGAAGGGTTAGCTCTGGGGAAGGGCTCAGCTGCTTCAGGGGAGTTCGAAAGTTGCGCTGAAGGGGACAAAAATCAAGGGAACTGAGGGGAAGAAAGGGCGGAAATTCGAGGGGGGAGAACAATGCGCTTCAGTGAGAAGAAGGCAAGCAGAGTCGATGCGGACTCGATGCGGAGTTTATGCGGAGGACTTGGGCATAATGGGGATGGGTAAGGGAGGCGCAGGGGCGTGGAGAGGGGAAGGGGGAAGGGAGGGATCAGGATGAGGAGGCTGGGGGAAGGGGGAATGAAGAATGCCAGGTTGGGGGGCTGTACTCCACCCCGCCCCATTCGCGGGTAAGGACGAGTTACATGGACGGTCTGGAGCAAGTCTGCATGTCAGTTACTGGCGGGAATCAAGCTCATTGGGCGAGGCTGGTTCCTGAATCCAAGGAGCTTTATGGAGGAATTTCGGGGCATCTGGTTACAGCTGGAAAGCAATTTCGTGAAATGGGTGGAGCGGACGGGTGCTTGTGCCTGAAGATTGGTTGGATGATCAGGCGAATGCATTCGCATATGAAGAAGGCGATTTGGAGCAGACAGTGAAATTCGCAGGCGACGGGTTTCACTCCTTTATTTCGTTACACCGCCTCAACTACACCGCCTCCTTCCATCGTCCACTAATTCCAGCTAACTTTTCCGTCGTCATTCTCTTTCCATCATAACTCCCGATCCCCTTTATGCACACAGGTGGTAGTATGATGCCCACTCAACTCCCCAGACCCAAGCCCCATTCCGAGCCCCAGGCCCCAGGTATAAGCCTCCAGCTTCACACCCCAAGGCCACCTCCCAAACCAAGCTCCAGCTAGCTGATCCCATCAAGCAGAGACCCCGCCGTGCCCCTCCAATCCTGTCATGCCATGTAGCTTTTTGCCCTCACCTCCCTCCCGTTGCATCCATCCAAACAGCTCCTCCCATCCATCTCTGCCAGAATTCAGCAGACCTGCAACCACCATACCACATGGCTTTTTCCAGAAATGGCATGGCATGGCACCTACCGTAGGTGGATCAGGGCAGGTGAAAGAATCCGGAGGTACAGACGGGCAGTACGGGTGTTCCAGAAATGGCATGGCATGGCAGCCCGAGGTGCGCAGGGTAGACCCTCTGGACCTAAGCTCAGATCAGAGTTGATGTAGGGGTTGTGTTGTGTCATATTACCACTCTTTTTGTTTGTCTAAAGTTGCCAATGGCATGCACACCTGTGCTGCTCACATTACCACAACAGAACACACTGTATGGGCTTACACGTCAACGGAAATGAACATTCTAATCTGCTGCTGCCTACGGCTTTCGCGGTTACTGCTGCGCATTTCAAGTGATGACCCCCTTTGAAGAAAGTATGGCCCACTAATTGGCTGCAGCAGTTCCTGATGCTATTCCTGCTCGAGGGTTCACTCCTCCCTAGTGCTGAATGGACTGCATGCACCACTGCATCTTAAGGAAGGCAGGAACAGCTGTTGCTTGCCTCTGCGGGTCGGTTGTTGCTGCACTTCATGACGCTACTACTGCTCTTGGGTTCACTCCTGCCCCTCCCTAGTGCTGACTGGACTACATATGCCGCTGCATCTTAAGGAGGGCAGAAACACCTGCTGCTTCTCTTGCCTGTGGGTCGGCTGTTGTTGCTGCAGTTCATGACGCTATTACTGCTTCAGGATTCACTCCTTCGGCCTTTATCTAGTGCTGACTGGACTGCATGTGCCACTGAATTCAAGGAAGGGTGGAAAGAGCTGCTGCATGCTTGCCTGCAGGTCGGCTGCTGGGCTCCTGATGCTGTCACTGCTTCTGTGGTTACCTGTTCTGCTCTTTTCGTGTAATGGTGACTGGACTGCATGCATCGCTGCATTTCAAGGAAGGTTTTAGAGCGCTGCTGCATGGCTTGGCTGCTGGTCGGCTTCTGCAACTGTTTCTGCTGCACCCGCTGTCACTCCTGCTCCTTAATGCTCCAATTCCACTGCCGGCGCCACTGCAATAAAAGCTGCTGCATGCCCTGCCAGTGCTTCTGCTGCTGTTGCTGCATTTCCTGCTGTTGCTCCAGCTCCTGATGCTCTTACTGCTAATGACTTCACTGCTTCTGCTGTAGGTCTTCCCCTTGTGGTGACTGGACTCCAGGCGCCGCTGCATTCTGAGGAAGCACGGAGAGAGTTGCTGCACGCCCTGACAGCAACTCTGAGGCTGGTACAGCTTCAGTGCTTACAGCTTCAATGATTAGTACTTCTGCTCCTTTTCCTAATGGTGACTGGACTGCAGGCACTGCTGCATTCTGAGGAAGTATGGTGACAGCTGCTGCACGCCCTGACTGCGTGTCGGCTGCTGCTGCTGCTGCTGCAGCTCCCGGCGACGCCTGCATTGCAAACAGGTATGAGATGAAGGCCGTTGCTCACTCATCCCACAACAACCCATCGTAAAATAAGAAACTATTGATAACAATAGTAGTAGTAATAATAATAATCGTAAGTATAATGATGCAATAAATAAACATTAGTCAAATAGCAAGCAAACAAGCTCACACCTTGCTCTGAGTCGTTGTAACCGTCTGCGAGCCAGATTCCACCTCCCCTGCCGTTGGCCTCCTTGCTGGTCCTGCTGCTGCCCGTTCTGCTGCCCCTGCGGCTGCCCGTGCACCCTGCCGCCCACAGTGGACCAATCAGGAAGCAGCACCCATTCCGGCACCCCTCTGCTCGCCGCCTCCTGCCTCAGCCGCTCATCCAACCCCTCGCTCCATGTGACTGTAGCGAGTGTGCTCGTAAACGCATCGTCTCTTATAGACGCATTTACTGTAGATGCAGGTTCTTGTTCTGTTAGCGGAGGTAGCGGTTGAAACACACCCCATTGTTGTGCAGGTGCTACAGCTATGTCCTGCTTAGGCTTGGAATTCTCCCTCCCGTTATAGTCACAATGGCGGGAGTCACGGCCAGGAGCGGCAGCAGGGAGGAACCAGCCGCGAAACGCGCGCTTGCAGAGGGGGCAGGGGGGAAGGGGGGAGGCGCAGCTGGCGCGACTGGTGGAACTGGCGCGATCTGCGCGGCTGGCGCAGCTCCAGACGCGGATGCACGGCAGGCAAAAGCGGTGCATGCAGGGCGACAGGGCGACGATTGGCGATAGGGTTACCACTGGCGAAGCGGCGGAAGAGGGTGAGCTGTCGGAAGCGGGGAGGGGGGAATTTGCTGCTTCCACCGATTTGGATTCGATTTGCGCGGCTGACGCCGATCGGTCGCTGGTGCGGGGTTGCGCGGGATGCCCTACCCTATCGGCGTTCACAAGGTTCCACGAGGGCTCGAATTGCGAGTCCGCGAAGGGGATCAGGCAAATCGGGCACACGTCACCAGACGGCGGTGATATTAACGGGGGGTTCGGTTTCGCGGCGTGTGATTCTAACGAGGATTCGACAGGTTCGGCGTGTGATTCTAACGAGGATTCGACAGGATCGGCGTGTGATTCTAACGAGGTCACGGTACGCTCAGCAGGATCGGCGCTTGGACGGATGGTCGAGTCGGAGGACGCCATGCAGCAATTACTGTCAAGATAGTCGTCGCGCTGGTAATTTTGCCGTCGAAGGCAGAAGCACAGACTTCACTGCTTGCAGTTCCTGAACATACCCGCTATTGTTCTGTGTGGGATTCATCTCCAGAACCACTGGTGTGCATTTCCATGAGTAAAAAGGTCTTCTCAATACACTCTCAAAACGAGAATCTCTTTGAAGTTTTCAACGAAGGTATTACTTAGTTCCCGAAGTTTGTAGTGATACAAAACAATAAAGGAAGTCTTTCGCGTGCACCGAGAGCTCACAACTGCACCGAGTTCACCCACCCCCACCATTCCCGCCTGTTTACCGTGATGCTCTTTTTCCTAAAATGTACGAGGATGTAGGAGGTGCTTCACATCACGACACGTGGATCAGCAGTGCACTAACTGCTCGTTAGCACTAAGCGGAAGTAATATCCCGATTCTGTGTGATTATCTCTCAGTCGTGGGAGAGTGCTGTTCGATCTCGACCCATCATCTCCCGGTGCGTGGGATTATTGTTTCTTCTTCATATCAGCGTTGGACCCAGTTATGTCATTTGGGACGAAAAACGGTTTCTGAAATGGTTATTTGGCTGGATATACTCGCTATTGAGCACTTCGCGACACCGTTCTCCGGTGTACTTAGTACTGAAATACTTTGAGAGCATGATCTCAGACCTCGTAGTCGTCTCGTCGCTCCAATAGTAGTGAATTCTGTCGCCCACGTCGACATGGCCACGACACCTACCCAGGTGACGTGGCAGGAGATGCAACGCATGCTGACGTGTCTTCTGGAAGCAACCGAGGTAATCCGAGTAGCCAATAATCGGAGGCAGCAGACCGCTGACCTGCTAGACGAGTCGATCCACGTGTCGTCCGCTCATTGGGCCCGTCACGAGGCTCTAGTCGCCGCGCACACGCGGGTCGCCGCCCGGCGCGCCGAGCTGGACAAACTACGTGCTGACGTGGCGGGAGCCCAGCGTGAGGTGGAGGACAAGCGCGCGGATGTGGAGAGGCGGAGAGCGGAGCTCAAGGAGGCGAGACACTCGTTAAGAGCTGCTTCGACAAGATTAGTGGTACGATATGGTCACGCTGAGTTATAAAGGGATGGTTAATCCCACTAGCAGCGAGCCCCGTTAATGTCTGACCTTGTTTTGATGCCCACACGCTCCCATGCTCTCCTCTTTACCCCTTGTAATTCCATCTTCCCCCCTTCTTTATAGCCCATCCTTACCACTCTCCCTGTTCCCGTCTCATCCCCTTCCCCTTTGTAATCCCATTTTCTCTCTCTCTCCCCCCCCCTACTCCCCTCCCCCCTTTTACAATCACACCCACAGGAAGCGGACCGATTTCTGTCACAGGAAGGTTCGAAGCAACAGCTGACAGTGAGAAGGCGGCTGGCCACTAGACGACGACGAATGCTGGTCCAACTGGCGGGGATCATCCCGCTTTCCCCCTCCTCCCCCTCTCCCTCCTCCCCCTCCCCCTCCTCCGCCTCCCCCTCTTCCTCCTCCCCCTCCTCTCGTCCCTCGTCCTCCTCCGCTTCGGTTTCTCCTCGACCCCCCTCCTCCTCCTCTTCCTCCGCTTCCTCCTCCTCCACCGCCCGTCCCTCATCCGCCTCGTCCCCCATTCCCGCAACCGCATTGAGACACGTGGCAAGCGCGGATAGCAGCTGGGGGAGCGGGTGGGGCTTCTGGGGTAAAAGGGGAGGGGACGCGGGAGGGGCAGGGGCAGGGGCAGGGGCAGGGGCAGGGGCAGGGGCAAGACGAGGGGGAGGGGAGAGAGATGAGGGAAAGAGTGTGATTGATATTGGGGAGAGTGGGGACGATAGGGGTAAGATTGAGGAGGATATTGGAGAGAGTAAGAAGAAAGGGAGGGTATTCAGTGATGGTATGCTGATGGATAGAGGGCGAAGAAACGAGGAGGCAGAGGGGGAAGGAAGGGAGGTTAAGAATATTACTGATTTGCATGTAACTGGAAACCCGACTGGAAATTCAGAAGCTGTGGAGGAAACAGCTGGTTCAGGAGAGAGGAAAGGAAGGGAAGTGGGGGAGGGGAAGAAAAAGGAGACTGCAGGAACAATAGTGGATGTGACTATATTGGGGCTGCCGCTGATAACAGCACCTCGGTTACAGTCACTGTTCAGTGGGGGAGGGGCAGGCATGGACGAGGGCGCGAGGCAACGGCACGACGCTGCCTTGGGCTTGACTGCTCAGGTAAAGGCTATACCGTTGTTGCTAGGAGGTTTTTGAGACGTCTCAAAAACACCCTCACCTCAGGTAAAGGCTATACCGTTGTTGCTAGGAGGTTGATCAGTGGTAATGGTGTTGTGGTGTGGGCTAGATAGGGTCACAACACCGTTTGGGGTTGAATGAGGGGGCAGTGGCTGAGACGAGGGTGAGAGGCAAAGGCATGACGCTGCTTTGGGGTTGACTGCTCCGGTAAATGCTCTTCCCTTACTCAGACTCTTCCCTTGCTGCTAGGAGGGTGGTAGTGATTACGATCTTGCAGGCAGAGGCATGGAAGGTCTGCCACATGGAGGCATGGGAGGCATGGAAGGTCTGCCACATGGAGGCATGGGAGGCATGGAAGGTCTGCTAGGGAGGGGCTGCATGGAAGAGGGTGCGGCGCAGAGAGGTGTATTTTGAGGCGCCTCAAAATGCACCTCATTACGATCTTGCGGGCTAGGGAGGGGCCGCATGGAAGAGGGTGCGAGTTGACTTTTGAGTCGACTCAAAAGTCAACGGGCTAGGGAGGGGCCGCATGGAAGAGGGTGCGAGTTGACTTTTGAGTCGACTCAAAAGTCAACGGGCTAGGGAGGGGCCGCATGGAAGAGGGTGCGAGTTGACTTTTGAGTCGACTCAAAAGTCAACGGGCTAGGGAGGGGCCGCATGGAAGAGGGTGCGAGTTGACTTTTGAGTCGACTCAAAAGTCAACGGGCTAGGGAGGGGCCGCATGGAAGAGGGTGCGGCGCAGAGGCACGACGCTGCGTTGGGGTTGAACTTGACTGCTCAGGTAGAATCTCTCCCCTTGCTGCTAGAGGGGTGGTAACCGTTGTGTGCACGTTAAAGGCTCTTCCCTTGCTGCTAGGGGTGGTAACGGTTGTGTGCACGTAAAGGCTCTTCCCTTGCTGTGCATGCTACCTGCACCTCCCCCTGCGCTACCCCATCCTGCTCCCTCCTACCTTCGGCCTCATGCCTCTTTCACTCCCCTTCCCATTCCTCCTGACCCCCTCCCTCTCCCCCACACCCTTCCAACCTTATAGACTTCTGTGCTGATATCTGAACCTACCCCTGTGCCTCCCCAACCTGCTCCCTTTGAGTCGACTCAAAAGCAGACTTCTGGCCCCCTCCCTCTCCCCCCCACCCTTCCAACCTTATATACTTCTGTGCTGATATCTGAACCTACCCCCCGCACTACTTGAGGCGCTTCAAAAATCCTCTTCCCCCCACCCTTCAGGCTTGTATGCTTCTGTGCGTGATATCTGAACCTTCCCCCGCGCTACCCCAACCCGCTCCCTCCTCCCTCCTCCCTTCTGCCTCATGCCTCTTTTTCTCCCCTGCCAGAGTGGAAGCGCAGCTGATGCACCTGCAGGGGGGCAGGGGCCAGGGGGGTTTGGACTGCTTTTGCTGCCTCATGGTGGACCGGCACCCCTTCCCTTCCCCTCTTTTCCCCCCTCCTCCTCCTTCCCACACCCCCCCCCCCCCCCCACTCCCCCCTCCCTCCCGTCCAGCTTGTATGCTTCTGTGCGCGCTACCTCCACCTCCCCCTGCGCTACCCCATTCTCCTCGCCGGCTCGCGTTGCCTCATGGTGGACCGGCACCCCCCTGCCAGAGTGGAAGCGCAGCTGATTCTCCTGCTCCCCTTCCCTCCCCTCCCCCCACCCCCACCTTCCCCCCCTCCAGCTCGTCTCTTTCTGTGCGCGCTACCTGCACCTTCCCCTCCGCTACCCCATTCTCCTTGCCGGCTCGCATTGCCTCATGGTGGACCAGCACCCCCCTGCCCGCGTGGAGGCGCAACTGATGCACCTGCAGGGGGCAGGGGTGGGTGGTGGCACTGCCGGGAGAGGGGTAACAGCAAGGGGAGCAGGAGGGGTAGGGGGAGGAGGAGGTAGAGCGGGAGGAGGAGGGGGAGGGAGAGCTGGTTTCCCTCAGCAGATTGAGCAGCAGCAGCAGCAGCAGCAGCAGCAGAAGCAGCGGCAGCAGCTGCTGTATAGGTCTGCTAGTGACATGAATCTGCTGCCAAGGAATGGGAGTAGGGGGAGCAAGGGGAGTGGCTGGGAGAAAGGGAGCGGACGGAGGGGAGGCAGCAGGAGCAACTCTCCTGAAAGGGAAGCTTTGGAAAGAGGAGGTTTGGAAAGAGGAGGTTTGGAAAGGGGAGGTTTGGAAAGAGGAGGTTTGGAAAGAAAAGCTTCGCCTGCAGGGGTGGTGGTGAGGGATCGGAGAGGCGTGAATGGGGCGAGTGGTCTGGGTGATGAGGGGTGGGAGGCGGTTGTGAGGGGTGCCAGCCTGAGCAGCAGCAGCAGCAGTGGTGGTGTTGGGAATGGTGCAACGGCAGGAGGAATGGCAGGAGGAATGGCAGCGGCAGGGGGAATGGCAGGGCCGGTGGGTATGGCAGGGGCGGGGGGAGTGGGAGGGGGGATGGGAGGGGGAGTGGAAGGGGGAGTGGAGGTGCAGCTGGCTCTGTACATGGGTCAGTCGCACGATGCAGGGCGATGCGCTTGTGCCATGGTGCTGCTGGGGAATGTAAGTATTCATTATTGTGGTCATTGTTGTTTTCAAGCATACCCCATGGCGTGCTGCTGTTGGGGAATGGAAGTGATGTGTTGACTCTTCTCACAAGGGGGAATGGGAGGGCTTGTCAGAGAGGGAATAGCAGAGAAGGGGGGGGGGGGGGGTGGAGGTGCAGCTGGCTCTGCACAAGGGTCAGTTGCACAATGCAGGGCGATGCGAGTGTGCGATGGTGCTGCTGGGGAATGTAAGTGCCGTGATGATTCTTACAAGGGGAATGTGAGTGCTGATTTTATGCATGAGGGTAATCTAGGAAGCAGGGCCCATGCCATGGAAACACGGCCCATGCCATGGAAGCACGGCCCATGCCATGGAAACATGGCCCATGCCATGGAAGCACGGCCCATGCCATGGAAACACGGCCCATGCCATGGAAGCACGGCCCATGCCATGGAAGCACGGCCCATGCCATGGAAGCACGGCCCATGCCATGGAAGCACGGCCCATGCCATGGAAGCACGGCCCATGCCATGGAAGCACGGCCCGTGCCATGGTGCTGCTGAGAAACGGGAATGCTGATCCTGAAAAGGTGTGCTGTTTAAAGGGTGATTTATTCAGGACGGGGGGAATATGCCACCGTGCTGTTCCAACATGTCCTTTTTGGACGGCTGTGATCAGTTGAGCATGGCATGGTGTTGGCCGGCGTGGATTGTTGGTAAGTGCACTTTGATGTACCCCTTCCTTTCTTTAAGCGCCAAACCCCCTTCTGTTTTTCTTTATGAATTCAAAAACGTTCGTAAGGTCGGGCTGTTTTCTCAACTCCAGCACCCCCAACCCCCCCCTTCATCCTCTCCCTTTCTGTTCGCCCCTGCCTGACACTTTTTTGAATCTGCTCTCGTCCATCAGGATATAGAGCAGCTACTTGCTTCGGTCGGGCTGGTTTGGAAAGGTTCCCGACATCTGCTCCTGTATAATCTGCTTCGCTTCTTTGTTGCAGTAGATGCGGGTCAATGTGGACTTGCCTAAATCGTTGGAGCACATGATCTATTACCGTGAAGATATTAGCGTGGCTAGCTTCTACAAGCTGTTCCCAGTAAAACCCGAAGCACTCTTGTATCGAATTCGTTTTATACCGAGGAGTTGGAGTGAGGAATTCGTATACACATGATGCCCACCCCCTGCACGCGAAAAAGCCCTGCACATTTCGGAAACCTTACACCCGTGGGTTTTTTGCCCTGGTGTTGCACCTATGGTATAAGCACCTGAGACCACTTGCATCTACCAGGTGAATACTCCCAAACTGAGCAACACAGCAAAAGACAAACGTCAGCCGGTTGGCCCCGTCCCTGTTTTTAAGTCAGAAACAGAGGCTACGAAATGTAAGGACAAAATTCGTGAAACGTCGCCACCCAAAACTGATGTTACGTCATGCCACCTGTGCATCAACCAGGTGCGCCTAACAGTTCGTGTTTGTGTGTTAACTCCGAAGTGTACATTGCCAATGCTCGGTACATGCCCCTTGTGAGCCTCACAGTCCGCAAACAACACACGTCACTATTCGTGGATGTGGTTACCCAGTCTCATAATCTCTAGAAACTGCGAGAGATGCATGTGCATCTCGCAGCAAGTGCGAAACCTCGCACACTCTCGAGACATAGTGACTAATCCTAGCGCCATTGCACCAGCATAAATCCACTCGACAACCAGCACTGCAATTCATGTTTAGTTATCTTAACAATCTCGCCAGATGCCTCGTCTCTACCATAGGTCTCAGCTCGCGCTGCATATCAAGCGGGCCATTTGTGCCCATCAACAGGCAAACCCTCTGCTGCGCCACGTGGACCTCGCACGTTGGTGTTTCACGCGTTTTGGTGTGAGGCCCGACCGTTCGACCATTGGTCGCGTTCTCAAAGGCGCCGCCCGATGGCACGTTCCTGATGACGCCGTGGACGCCATTCGCGTCCGCGGCGGGGCATACCCCGAACTGGAGCGCTCGATGGCACGCTGGATTTCAAATGCAGGCCCCGCTGGCGTCCCTCTCACCCTCGCCACTATTCGCGACCATGTTGCGACGATGGCGCGTGCGAACGGCGCTCCGCCGACTTTCCGTTGCTCCATCGGCTGGGTCCGCCGTGCGCTGCGCCGCCAGGGAGTACAGTGCATGAGCGCGGTCGGCGAGGCGGCCGACCAGGATCTGAACGCAGTGCGCACCACTAAGGAGAAGCTTCCTCAGCTTCTCATGCATCTCGGCGTGCGCCCGCGTGATACTTTCAATTTCGACGAGACTGCGCTGTACATCAGCGTGCTTCCTCGCAAAACGTACGGCACGGGCAGGTCGGCAGGGCGGAAGGTTCCGAAGGACCGCCTTACCGTCGGCTTCTTGGTTAATGCGGACGGGACGCACGCATTCCGTCCGCTTGTCATCTCCAAGGCTAAGCGGCCACATGATTTCAGGCCGGACTTCGACCCCGAGGAGTATTGCTACTGGCGCAACACCGCTAAGGGGTGGATGACCAAAGCCGTGAGTTTGTTTTTACAATTTCTAAAAGCCTCGTTATTATCGTACCCGATGTTGCCTATGTTTGTGATCATGATAAAGCCCCATAACAAAAATTTGAAAAACAAACATGTTACAGCCTGTGCTTTTTAAAAGCCTCGTTATTACATGTACCCGATGTCGGCTATGTTTTTGATCATGACAAAGCCTCCTAACCTACCCCAACTTCGCCTACACCCCTTTGTGTTGCAGCTCTTCACGCACTTTTTTGAGCAGCTGGACACCGCCATGTACGCAGAGGGCCGCCAAGTCGTCGTGCTGCTCGACAACGCGAGCAGTCACACCCTGACAACCGAGGGCGCAGAAACCGAGGACCTCTTCGGGTTCCGCACGCGAAAGCTCAGTAACGTGCGCCTCGTCTACCTGCCGCCGAACACCACCTGCTTCACGCAGCCACTCGACCAGGGGATGATCGCCATGACGAAGGCGCGGTACCGCCAGCACTGGCTCCGCGCCTTCACCGGCATGTGGACTGCTGACGGCGCGACTTCCGCGGCGGCAAGGTTCAAGCCGAACCTCCGTCGCGTGCTGGAATGGCTCCATGACGCGTGGATGAATATCCCGCACGTCACTATCCAGCGCTGCTGGTGGCGCACCGAGTGCCTACCGCGGGCGTGGGCGATGGAACTCCCGCACGTGGAACAGAGCGGCGACCCACAAGTCCAGGCTGGGGGTGACATTGGCCTGGACGAGGAGTTGAACGACGTAGGCGTCTTAATCGATCGTCTCGGCCTCGGGCCGTCCGCGCTGCCTGCGGCAGAGTTCGTCGGAATTGATGACAACCAGCCGACGTGCGCCGAGCCGGACGAGGACCCCCTGGCGCGGGAGCCAGCGTCGGCGCAGACGGCGCATATGTGGGAGGCGCCGGCGGCGATGCAAGCGGTGTACGACGATAACAACCCTGCGACGCGCGAAGCTCGTCGCACTGCACGCGCCGCCTGCGAGATGCTCATTGGGTACGCGCGTGCGACGTGCATCACGCCGAGGGATTTGTGCGCGCTGTTTGACATCCGCAACCCCATGATCATCGCGCGGATGGAGCGCGCAAGCCCGGCACTTAACCTTAACGCTACTCCCCCGCCAGCGCCGACACACGAGGACACCCCGCCGGCAGAGACTCCACGTCGCCGCGGTCGCCTTCTGCTGGCTTGGATGACGGTGCCGACCCTTGACTGGGTTGCCCAATCTGCTCGCCGGCAGGAGCTTATCGACGCTGGCGCTCCCGCCGTGATGAGCGGATATCTCGCTGCGGCAGAGTGGATGAGGCTGTGAAATTCACTCTGCATTGTGCAAATTTCAGCATTTACACAAGTGTGCACGACTCATGCACACATGTGGTAAACGGTGACTGCATTACATAGCAGGGCCGGGGAAGGGGGGGGGGGGGTTGTTTGTCGCGGCAGAGACAGTTGTGGCTATCCCATTCGTTCACTGATGTTTGTGATGAAGGGAGAGGTGAATTGTAATTGCATGTGATAGTCTGGTCTCGATAAAAGTGGTAACCCAGTGCATTAGCTCGCAACAAAGGACGCCGCCCAACACTATACATGGAAAAAAAAAACATGTTACCGCCTGTGCTTTTTAAAAGCACCCGACGGCCCAGGCGATGTTGACGAACCATGCGAAAAGCGCAGATCGGTTATAAGCCCAGAAGACAAGAGAACGACGGGAAACTATAACGCGCATCAGGTGTACCAATGCAGAATATCTCCCTCACGATGTTCACGTGCTGGTCAGGTCATGTCTTGACGCGCTTCGATCTCTCAAACTGTACAGTTCTCAACTCAACCGTGCGGTTTCTTTCTTTCGTGGTGCAATTGGCAACTTTCCGCATCCCACGGCGTACAAATTTGGCAAAATGCATTCAACCCCTAAAAAACTTCCGCGACTCGTCTGCCGACTTTGAACCGCACATTCTCGAAATGCGACTCGTGGCAGAATGTTACGCCAGATGGTGTCTACGTGCTTCCACCATCCAGACCGAAGCTCATCGGTATGCAATATCCATCCAGCACCAATTCCATTTGAGCACGCATACCAAGCCAAAACGCAAGGCCTGCATTCCATGTGAGCTTGAAGGAATGCAATGCAGTCAGCACAACGTACCCCACCATGCTCCAGTCTGCGTCCAAGTGCAGTCGAATGTGTGGTCGTCGCAAGAGTCCAACGGGGTAAGCAGTTACTGTAACGCTTCATAAACATGCTCGTAGCTTGTGACTGATGCCGTTATTCGGCAGCTTCACACGGCACAAGGGCCAAACAGACAAAAAATACAGCAGAACCGAATGCTTATTGTCCAGTCTGTCGTAGATCAGGCCTAGCGGGGAAGAATCTGCAGCAGATTTTTTTTGGCCTAGTAATTTTCCAGCCAAGCTTCTGTCGTCAACTGATGTTTCGCATGAACCCAAGCTTTTGACCTTATCTCAACCGCTGTTGCGTGGCAGTTTGTAGGAAATATTTACATCCGCGTGACTTTTTTATTGCCTTCGACGATACTTCACGTCGGTTAAATATTTTCCTTCCTCTCGCCTGTAAACTACAGCAGGGTTCATGAGGTCATGACGATTAAAGGCAGGCATTAGGCACTGTGATGACTGCCACGCTTTCCTTGGCTCACCAAGCTCCATTGTCGCACATTACAGTATTGCAAGTAGTGAAGGATTCTCCCGCATCCCTGGAGCCAATAACAGATGCCCAACGGCTGTAGAATTTCCTCGCACTCCTTGACGACTTGATTTGGGGGGCGAGAAGGCGTCAATGGTGTGCTGAGAGCTCGCGTTGTGAGGCTGAGCATTACTACAGTACGGGACGGGATGCGGAGCCACGTGTTAGGGCAAAAACGCTTGATCGGCCGTGAAATGATTATTACTGCGTGTCCACGTGGCACCGCGACTGTTCACGGTTATCAAGGCGAGCGGCAGGTCGTCCTTCGACAAGCGGCAAAAGGCGCTTGATCGCGGGTCTCTATGGCGTCCTGCGACGGAATTCCAGTAGATTAGTTTGACGGAAAACCCATGAATTTTTTGCATAGAACCAGAGCACCGCTCGATTAGGCATTGGGCGGCGGTTCGGATCGCTCGAATGCTAATGCGCTATGCCTCTCGCGCTGCACCCCTCCCGCTCGGTGTGACACCACTGCAGCTGAAAGCCGAGTCACGTCTGCGAAACTTCAAAAGGTGGCACACCGCTGTATGCAGCTGAAACAAGCACGAGGCAGGCTACCTTGAGGGGGGGCGGCGTGCAACCTCTCTTTCGAAAGGAGGGTGCTGCTCTTGAACTTATCGTTACTAGCACTCTTATCCTAACAAGGCGGCTTCTGAGTCGACTGTGGGATACTCTCACAATCTATCGCCGCTAATACCCGCCAACTACTCGCCATCTAACGCTCGCCTTTCCCGCTGCTCGCCTTGTCAGTAGCGATCGCGCCGTTCCCTGCGTGCGCGGCTGGCAGTGGTTCGCACCGGCTGCGTTGCGACACACCCTGCTGGCTGGCTGGCTGTTGGCTGCTGTTCGACACACCCTCGGACTTTCGCTGCAGAAGCAAGGCAAGAACCATTTGAAGGGCGGAACACAGCGACGAAAAGGAGCTGGGATCGGAGCAGCAGAGTTCTGTACGAGCAGGAAACGGAGCAGGAGAGAACCAGCAGCCTGTTGGTCTCCTTACTAGCCCAGAAAACTTGAAATTGAATTGCGTCTTCTGTACGGCCAGAAATGAGCGAGGCTCTTGCAAGAGATTCAACTTGAAGCCTCTTGGCCCAAGTTTATATGCTACCGTTGATTCAACCATTTGGAACCATCAGCAGCTGACCATCACAAACTTCAGAGGACCGAGCTACCAAGACTTTGAGGCTGATATCAGAATTCAAGGTGAAACCCTTCGCAGCGACCAGTCATCAATTGAAGGTCAAGCTCTAGCGAGGATGGATCCCTTCGCCCGTCTCCCCGACGACCTGCTGCTCGCGGTTCTCTCGCGCGTGGGCAGCGCGGCGCGTGACGTCACCCGGCCCGCGATGACGTGTCGGCGGTGGAACGACGTGACGCGCAATGTGCCTGCGCTGCGCCTGGAATCGAGTGGCGGTGGCGTGGCAGCTAACCAGGCGCCGTACTTGACGTTTGAGGTGAGTGCCGGTCCAAGCAAGCCATGGCGGACCTGGAATTTTCTATTCGAATTTTGTATTCGATGGTCAGGAGATGTTCTGTGTTTCTTTTTTGGGGGATACTTTGTTGAGTTGTCCTTTTACACCGCGCTCAGTCTCCTGTTACCCCTCCTTTCCCCCCACGCCCCCCCCACACACGCATCAGTGCCAGGCCTCGCGAATGATCCTCCGCACGCAAGCCCTGCGCCAGCTCACCATCGTCTCGCCTCTAGCACCGCCTTCAAACCACGGAGGGCCGTCTTACCCCAGCCAGACGGCGTCAAGCGGATGTCACGGAACCTCTAGCGGCGGAGGTCCTATGATGACTCCCAGTGGACGTTCCGCTCCTCCAAGCCGCGGACCTTCCACTTTCTGCAGACGTCCCTCTTACTCCACCGAGTCGGCGGAACTCCCCTCCTCCGCAAATTGCGCCTGCTGCAGCCAGCATTATTGCGCCAGCCAGGCTTCTGCGCCATTTGGGGGAGTCCCCCCGCCCCGCCATCCGCGGGAGTTCATTTTTGAAGCGTGGATGCGCCACGTCGGGCCGTCTCTGCACTCTCTCACCCTCTCACGCGCACTTCCTGCCACGAATTCCGCGAAGCGCCCTTGCGGCAACGGCACCAGCGGCGGGAGCGTGGTGGTAAACCTGTGGGAGGAGGAGGACGCAAGTCTGCATCTCGCGCACATTTCTCGCCACTGCACCAACCTGCATTCGCTCTCATTGGGCCACGTGTCTCTCTCCGCTCCTACCCTGCTCGCCACTCTCCAGCCCATGCCGGCCCTACACCACCTCTCGCTCTCGTGGCTCCACGCGTCTCCCGCCGCCCTTCACGCCGTGCTTGACGCCGCGCCGAACCTCCGCCACCTCACGATATTCATGGCGTCAGGTTTCCCGTACCTGAAACTACGCGTTCCTCCGTCCCTCCAGCACCTCTCGCTCTCCTACATCCGCGCGGAATCCGTCTTGCTTCACTCCGCGCGCTCCCTCCAATTTCTCTCTGTCCGCGACATGTTTCTCAGCGCGCTCTGCATCCACGATGCGCCCAACCTGCGCCAACTCGCCGTCGCTTCCGCCAACCGCCTGCTCGTCTCCGCGCCTCGCTCCAGCCGGCTCGCGTCGATCGACCTCCGCGCGGGCTCGCTCAACTGGCCCGCCACCGAAACCCTAATTTCAGCCAATTCGGCTGCGCTCGAGTCGCTCTCCCTCGATTTTTTTGCCACCAGCTCGGGCCTGCCCTCGGTTTCGTCGCTGCCCTGGCTTGCACGGAACTGCCCGGGGTTGAAAAGTTTGAGATTGGGTGCGCTGGCGTGGCAGAATATGGTTGACTCAGCTGCAGTTTCGGGGCTTCTACAGTCACAGGGGAAAACTGGTTCAGATGGTACACCTAATCATGGTTGTTTATGGCCTCAGTTAGAAGCTGTTACTGTGAGAATCGCGGAAAAGGCACCCGAATGCCTGCTTCTGCTTCATTTGATACTCTCTAACACCCCGACTCTGACGGGCCTTCACGTGACTGTAGAGGGGGAGGAGGAGGAGGAGGAGGACGAGGAAGAGGAAGAGGACATGGATGACATGGAGTATGATGGAGATTGTGATGCTACTTGCATCGATGAGCATGGGGAGGAAGATGAGGAGGGACACGACATTGATGGGGAGACCAACTACTTCCCACACTCATCTGCTCCACTTTCTGCCCCGCCTGCCTTGTTTCATCTAACTGAGCCCAACACTGCACTGGCCAGATTCACTCAGCCTGTGGATTACCGCTTTGCACTGACAGCAGCAGAGAGACAGCACCAGCTGTTTTTGAAGGGCCTGGACTTCCTCCATAGGCGGTTTGGATGCTTCCATGTATCCCCTATGCTGTACAGGAGGAAAACTGTCTGAACCTGAGGCGGGTTGCATTGCACGACCATACAACAGTAGTGCTATTTACAAGGCAACATCGTACTTCAAGGCATTACATGGGTAGTTACTTCACCTCCCCTGCATAATCAATAAAGGTTCAGTCTCTTCTTGTTCAGAAGTTTCCCATCCTTCAACATCATTAGTGTGGGCCAGCTGGTTCCAAGCTAATAGCTCCTCTGTCCACGAATCACTTCCTGGACCAGGGGATCTCCTTAGCGATTACGCCC